AGTGGTGTTTGGTACAAGTTTTCCTGGCGAGATAGAAATTACACATCCTGCTGACGTACACCATGTGAGCTCAGATGGTATCCAGACATACAAACAAACTGAGCAGTTGGCCACTCTGGGAAAAACAAAACCAAGCAAACACAGAAAATAAGTTCCCTTCAGAGATTTGAAACAATAAAGCCACATTTAGCTGCCCCTTCCCCTTTCATCTTTCCCAAAGTTTTGGTCTTCATAACAGTCTTTTGAACTTCTTTCATCTTCCACATCACGCAGAGCAAATTTTCTTCATATTTGCCAGGCAACAAGATTGCAGAAGCAGCCTTGATCACATAAGACAGAAATACTTAACCTGCTATCTTTCAGTGATCTGCTTTGGTTCTAACTTGTCTCAACAGCAGGAGCCATAAGATAGGAGTGGTACTGTGAAACAAACTTTTTCAAAAGTTTCTGTGCAAGACTTGGATAATAAACACTAGTTCAAGGCATCTGCTACCACAGAGCTTAAGGTCTTTAACATCAAAAGACTCACAGTTCAGGTGTTAGGTTAGTAAGAATATGAAGCAGAGAGAGTAAGTCAACAGAAGCACTGTCAAACGTCCTCCTTTACCAAGCCTCTTCATAGCTCCTAGCATGACCGGAGTGAAGCAGGTTACAACACCCTGGGTGACATGGTGCTGATCCCCTCCTACCTCAAGAAGGCAACAGGCCCAAGCCAGCATTGTCCACCAACAGCAGACGAGTGAAAGTTCTGGAGAGACACCATTCCCAGGATAACGTCTGCAGGAAAGGTGAGCCTATTCCCACCAACACCACCATGCGTGGAGTAACCAAGGGACCACCCTAACAGACAAGTTTGCAAATAGGAAGCCATGAGGTTACCAGTACTCCTAAGATGACTGTGCTGAGGAATATCATGTGCAGAGGGAATGTTGTTAGCACCTCCTTCTCTCCCACCGTAGGCTGTGCTCTTCCAGGTGACACATGGGTAGCCTCAGGCTACCCTTGTTTTGGTCCTGCAGATCTGCATTGTAGAAACTGAGGACCTAAGCTGCTGATGCTCTTATAGAATATGGAGTGGATATCTGCCCCTGCCCTCCCCAATCCAATAGTATTCTCATCCCAACCCCCACCCCCAAAAAAGGAAGAATGAAAGAAGGCCTTAATGTCAGCAGTGGAATTAAAGGCTGCTTTAGGAGTCCATTCACAGAGCCACTGCTCTTGCTTTTTCGCCTGGGACACAAACGTCTTGGGGGACAGCAGAGGAACCACTGAGCAGTAACAGAGGATGAATGAACAAGTTAAGTCACAACAAGACAATGGGGGAAGGTGAAGCATGTTTGGACACCAGATACACAGACACAAAAAAATCACAAGAAGGCTGACAGGAGAGTTTGTGCAGAGACAACTGAATGTGAGCATAGGGTTAGAAGTGTGAGGAAACGTCAAATCAAGGAAGCAAACGTACCATTAGTCGGATGCTTTGCAAACGACACAGAAAATCGTTTTACGGCTGGCATAGACAAGAGCTCTGAGGAAATAAAAACAGATCATCTCAGTTAACAGCCTGCTTCTAAGGATCCCCGATCTTCATATGCTTGCAACTACCCTTTCAGGTTCACCTTCTTCTTGATCCCCATAACACATGCTCCCGTTGGCACTCTCTACCTGCGGGTCTGACTGAATCTCTTGGCTTCCTCACACTCTGCCGGCTCCCCACTTCCCTTGTACTGCCCTGCCAGGGTCTCCCCTGACACTACAAAGGCCTCAGCCACACTCTCTCAATCACAGACAGCATCTCACACCTTCCCACCACACTTCCAGCCACCCTAAGAGCAACCCAGACTTAGTCCAGTGCAAGATGCAGTTAGGCCATGTTCACAGCCACGGGAACACATGGCCAAGCAAGCAGCAGCACCACAGGAGGATAGTTCTCAGGATTCACTGCTGCCCAAGGGAAACAACCACCTTTCTGCAGAGGAACTAAAGAGCCCTGGCATAGGTAAGTGCAGCTCAAAACATCCTCTAAATGCAAGCTTAACAGAGCTATTTATGAGTTTAAAGCTAAATCAACTAATTAGGCAACAAACAGAAGACCCATGAAGACATGCCTCTACAGTTCTGTTGCTCAAAGCATTTCAGTACAGAAGAGGTTGTGGGATACACCTGTCAGAGTGGTTCTCAGGCTTCTCCTGGCCATGTCCCCAGCCAGGCCAAGCTCTCCCACAGAAATCACACATTGGAAGGACAGTGCAAGAACAGACTCTATGCATCTAATGGGGTGCAAAAAGATGAGCTTTAAAAGACATGGATTAGCCTCCATATGCACAAAAAAAAAAAAAGACTGAATTTCCCACTCTGGAAATTCCTCAGCTACCATGGGAAAGAATGCCCTAAATCAGTGTGTAGGATTTCATGTGAGACCCCAGCCATTCATACCTTCTGCTGCTATTTAGGAACTTTTAGGAAATATTAGAAAATATTTCATGCATCCATTTTACCTAATCAATAGGGTCTGTATGCCTATCCCTCTACACCAACGTTAGGAGATACACCTATCAATTTATGCTCCACATCCCCATTGTGCTTCCCTAGCTACAGCCACTGACTTGGCCAAATAATATATTTAAACCAAGTCTCAAACTTTCTGCAATTTCCTTCACCAGCATAACAGCCCAAAAAATTGTTTTTCTTTCTTTAAACTCAACAAAGAGAGCATGACAATCTTCCCTACACATGCAATCCCTTAGAAGTGTCTAAGTCCTGAAGCTGCAGTCAGCCAGCTGGTAACCATCTCCATTCCACCCCACATCCCCCCTTGCCTTTACAGCACATCAATTTAAATGGTAGTGCAACATAGCTTACTGGATCCCTGGCTTCAGACAAGCTAACTTCAAATCACAGCCATCAGTGGACCTTCCCTCAACCTGAGCTCGGAACACAGCTTTCCACTGAAGTGTTCTTGAGCCCTCTTCCAGCCCCAAGCAAAAAAAAGCTTCACAAATAAGGGCCATTTTAACTTCACTTGAGCAAGTCTTTGACGAAGTGCTAAAGCCATGCACCACACCTTGAAGCATCACAGCCACGAAAAAATATCAGAGAGTTCATGCAAAGATGTTCTTCAGAATCTGAAGGTTTTTAAACATTATTAGCCCAAAAACTGTGAAAAAGGCCTTGATACAAATGTACTCCAAGAGTCTGCTGTAGCTGCTGTGTCACTTACTGTATTCAGCTCTATTGATGTTTGGTTTAAATGCCATTGTTCAGCATTTCATTGGTGCTCGTTTAAGCCTGAACATGCAGATCAAGGGCTTATTTCACATTCCAGACTACCTTCCCCAGAAGCTAAACGCTCTTTCTGCTCTTTCTGCTTCCTACTTGTTTTCCCAAGCCCCCCGCTTCTTCCTCACAATTGCTCTAATTGCAGCAAGGCGCTGGTAGCACAGGGTGCCATTGCATACCAAGAAATACAAAAAAAGAAGTGTAACATCAAGATGAATAATTCTGGGCTGTGTTAGTCACATACTAGTTAAATAAGTCTGTCTTTTAAGTACTTGAGGGTACGTCTCAGCACGCAGAGACCTTGTCACTGAATTTAGGCTAAAGCAGCAGGACTCTGCCCTGGACCTTGAATACAAGTAGGCAGTTGCAGGCACGCTCCTATTACACAGCCTACAGAGAAAGGCAGCACAGCACCAGGACTGAGCAGAATCTGTTCTGTTCCTAGCTGGGTACCGAGCAACCAGTCTTTGATGCTTTTCCCTGCGAATTAGTGCTGCCTTGGATTCACGCTGCTTGCAGAGTTATGGAAGAAAAGCAGCCAGAGCCGTGGCCACACTTTTCAGTGGCTCTCCGGGTATTCAAACCCATATCTTATGCCAAACACCATAAGCTTATTCTGGGACCTATAAGTAGCCAGCACTTGCTGCTTTGAGCAGCTCAGACTGATATAGCAGGGTTTAAAATCCTCCCAGTTCACCCTCCCTGTCTCTATCACTTAGTGCCTGTTGTGTGCTAGGGAGCTCCCTGAAGAGGTGAGACGCAACTCAGTTTCCTCTTACACAGTGAAAAGCAGCACAGAAAGCCAGTATACATAATGGTCTCAATAAAATGGCATTTCTGAAGTTCCAGTAGGTCTGAGAACTGGATAGCACCTTTCCACCCTGATTTGCTAGGCCATTTTCCTTGTCTCAAATCTGGACAAAAATCCAAATGAACCAACCTCCTGTCTTCCCCAAAGGCCCCAAATTACTGCCTTAATCATCTCCTCACTTTGTAATCCACCAGTGCTAGTGTTCATTATGATCCTGGTAAGAAAGGCACTCAGATTCTGTACTGATTAAAAAACCATTTGTTAGAACTAACACAAAAAGGAAAAAGAGAGGACAGATAATCTTACATCCATTCAGATGCTAGGAAGCCCAAGTTGTGCAACGTTAGGTGAATTTCCAGCTAGGGCATAGCAAACTGTGCAGATCCTATCCATGAGGCAGTTTGGTCAATGCTGGTCAGCTCAGCGCTCCAACAAATGGTATGTTAATCAGTACTTACAGAGTCTGAGTGCCTTTCTTATCAGGACCACAACAGACACTTGCACTTGTGCATTACAATCCTCTAATTCCTCCAGGATACCTCAGTCTTTCCCGGTGCTCAGATTTCCTTGAAAGTAGCTACACACTCTCTGCTTCTTAGTGCATAACGCACTAGTACTAACTGCAGATCAATCTGCAGCTGGCAACACCCCTTAACCTGAAAGATGCATCAGGCAACTTTTATACTAATGACCCAAACACATTTTACCACAGTCTTGCTGAACTTTAAGGCAGTTTCTGCAGAACTGCACGATAACTAGACTTTCTGGTCCTTTTGCAGTGTTTCATCCAAGTATCCCACTTACCTCAACCATTTCAGGCCTATTACACTTGCTTTCTGACAAGCTACCTTGGACTCTTCTGTGTGCCCAGCCTTACTCTAGCATCCATCTTATCCACCCCCAAGCATATCATTCTGCCTTTGAGACGGCTCCATCTTCTGTGGGGTAAGGATTACTGTCTCCACAAAAGCTTAGTTTAGCATCAGCAAGATCACCAAGGTAAGCAACGTGATGTGATGCGGTGGATTCTATACCAGGACAAACTTAGTTAATATCTAGACCAATAAATCCTCCTCTACAACAACAACCAGTATTAAAATGTCAGACCAAAATCAGACCCCAGCAATACCATACATCAGCATAAAACTCCTCACACAATGTCAGCTCCTGTTCTGTCCTAGCAAGGATCACAATTTCTTGGGATATGATAAAATGCATTACTGTAGATGCGGCGAATATACACATTCAACTGTCATTCTTCTTAGCAGTCTAGTCTGCCTCAGTAGCACCCTGGGACACCAAAGTCCACAAATTAACCATCTGCTGCATGGGGAACACACATACCGTCTTTGTATGTCAGGCTGCTGGCAAACTTTTTGCCATGGCTGCGTGCGTAGTCCTGGAGGTTGGGGGCACTGGAGGAGCCTCCCAGCACAGTGGTGCTAAACAGGCCGGTGCATTGTGACCCTGGAAAGGCATGGAAGGTGTTAGTATTATATCTCCACTGCATGCAACTACAGAAAAGCAGGGTTAGTCAAAGAATGAGGAATGAACTGGCCACTTCGCAGGCAATCTCAGGGAAAAAAAAATGATGCCCAGGAGCATAGGGAGGCAGTATTCCCCATTCTAAATTCACTAGTGCCAAACGCACAACGGGCAGTGCAAAACTCAGCACTGGGAAAGTTCCTAACTCCATCCAGGGTTTTTTTTTCCATTTGGCTTTCTTGCCCTGACCTATGAGAAACACCCTGACATCCTCCAGTCAGCAAATCTACATACTCATGTCATGAAAGCCAGGATGCCAAATCACTGATGTTCATGTCACAGGGTTTCATTTCTCTGCCCTTCTACCCTTTCTCTTTGGAAAGCTCCTTTTTCTATAGGACACTGAGAAGAAGCAAGGACTGCCTGATCTGTTGGTCATCAAATTTGAATTAATCACTCTGTCAAGCAGTAAGGAAATCAATGTGACCAGAAAGCTTCCTTTCACAAGCTGCTACCCAGATGATATTTCACATCCACTTGGTCATGTCTTGCTACTCCAGAGTAGGTCCAATTATTCCATGAATCACCCTTGCAAAGCACCAGATGCACACACAGTATGGAACTTTGCTTACCCTATGGTGAGGAATATGGCATGCAAGACAGCCTCATGCATAGGAGAGCAACCTAATACTGGTGTCTTTGGCAACTGCTGGTGTTTGCTTCTCCAAGGCACAGTGTTCTGCGGAGTGACTTGACTTTATGTGATATTTAGGGAACATTGGGCATTTGAAACGCAGTTCTTTTGACTGAGGACAGCAATTGTGAGTGAGACAAAACCTTATTATGGGCCAGACAAAGCCACTGCTTGGCTATAAATTCTCTGCTAAACCATCTTGGTGCTGCATTCTCTACTGAGAATACCAACTGCTAAAAACAACATTACTTCCACATACAAAAGGCTTCCAGAAACAAGCAGGTTGATCTTGTCCAAATTTGTCTGCCAAGGCAAAAAAAAATGACATACTGCTTATTAGTATTTAACTGGAACAGTGCAACAGTTACTACTGTTAAAAAGATCCTGCCTATATTGCAAGCAGCTCTTGATTCTAAAATATAGCCTCATAGCATGATTCAGTTTGGAAGGAACCTCTGGAGGCTTCTTTCCCAATGGCCCAGCAGGGCTAACTTGGATCAGCTTGCTAGTGTTTGTCCAGTCAAGTTTTAAGTATCTCCAAGAAAGGAGATTTCACAACCTCTCCAGGTCTCCAGTCCAATATCTGGCACATTCACCATAAAAAAATTGTTCCTCCTAGCTAGTTGGAATGTCCCATACTGCAGCTTGCGCCTGTTGGTTCTCATCCTATCACCACACGCCTTGGAGGGCAGTCTGTCTCTGTCTTCTCTGCAACCTCCCATTTAGGTGGCTGAACAGCATTAGGGTCTCCACTCTCCACAGCTTCTGATCTGAACAAGCCCTGCTCTCTCAGCTTCTCCTCACAGGTCAAGTTCTTCAGGCTCTATCCACCTCCACTGCCTTTTAATGGGCTTAAACCCGCTACGTCCACACCCTTCTTGCACTAGGGAGCCCAGGACAGGACAGCAGTACTTCAGACACAGTCTCACAAGAGATGAATAGAGGGGAAGAACGAAATCCCTAAGCCTGATGGCATCCACTCCTTGCTCTTCAGGACCCCAGATCTGTCTCTGTAAAGCTCCTTCTTAGCTAGAACTTCTTTGGAGAAAACACACAGATCCTGAGTTTTGAGTTATTCACATGTAAGCTCAGTCTAAGCTGACAATATCTGCTCCTGGGAACAGTGGGGTACGACTGACAGAGTTCTCGTATGCACTGAAGTTAAGTTGCTCCACCACCATGACACTGCTGGTAGCTTTCCACAGAACAGAGTATCACATGTGTGTCCTTGGACAATCGGACAAAGAACTCTTGCCTGCAAGGTGACTGGTACACAAATCTTAGAAAATTTCCTCCTAACGCCTTAAATTAAAGATCAGTTCTGACTCAGCATGAACTGCAATATGTCAGAATGCAAACAAAATTTTGTCAAGCAGCAGCCAAGATGATGCTCCTAATCATCCTTCCATGGCTTAAATAAAAACAAACAAACAAACAACAAAAAAAACCCAACAGACTTATTTACTGGCAGATAAAAATGGAACAGAAGATTTTTATTACTTTCTATCTTTAGCAGCCTTGTGCCACTAATCATTAAGCTAAAGATACCCCAGTGTTTCTGCTATCGTACAGTAGACAGAGGCATTTTGTTAGCACCCTTAATCCAGAAGAGAATTTACAAAGATGACTCTATGGACGACAGCAATTGTCACCAGTGAACTCTAGGAGACCACTGTAGCGAAAGTTAACACACACATGCATCCTAAAGAACACAATGATACACTAGCCATTTGGATTTCAGATGTAGTAACATTTCCTAGAAATTACTGTATGTGCTGGATCTTTTTTGCATAATTAATTTTCAGATGCACATCCAATGTTTCAGATGTTTAAAAAATCCCTACAGGAATGTGAGTCTCAGCACAAAGCTTCATGCCCACCAGTAATACACCAGCTCTATTGCTCAAACAGCAAGGTGTGATTTTACCCTATTTTGAAGTGTTCTTGCAAGCAAATAAGGCACTGAAACTTCCCTAGGCTTCTCAAGCTAGAAGCATGCACACTATTGCAGACAATCCACAATAATGGAATTGCTCCCGCCCAGAAAAACAGGCATACTCTAAAGCACCACTTTGCATAGACAAAGCAAGCTGCAGCCCACCCCTTTTCCACACTGAGATTTCAAGGCATTTTTTCAAATTACAGCAAAGACACAATTCTGGCAGGTATGGCAGCAGGGTTATTACAGGAGCTCTGTCCTGCTCCCCACTCCTGCATGCCTAAACATATGAGGTTATACCTGAACAGACATTCTCCCAGAGAATCCGTTCTCCCAGAGATAACACCAGCCAGCCACTGACAAGATCAGGCAACAGGAGATAGGCTCACTTTCAGAAAAGCTCAGAAACAGCAGGTAGTATCTGAATTAACCCGCTCATAGCAGAGCTGCTGAGACAAGTATTAAAGCCAAAGTTCAAGCTCCTGTGAGTTCTATATTATTTCTCCCACAGAGAGCATATTTCATATCCTAAAGTGGGAAGAAATTAGGTTTCTTCAAAACAAACAGGAGAGGAATCAGGAAGATTCCTTGAAGAGCTTGACTTTTATAGGTGAAGAGGAATCATTCTTAAAAGTTCTCATGTTAAGTGACATTCACAGAAATACAGACATCCTAATAACCAGGAGATTGTGCAAGCTAGTGTTGCATTACAGGTCTCTTCTGCTCAACATAGAGAAGAATGATGGCTGAGCTGAGTGTCCAGAGGTTTACCATCACAGATGAGGTCTATCAATTCCTACTCAAAGTTTTATCTCTGCAGAGCTTCACAGTTGGGAGAGTGCCCAGCAAAGGCTTCCCAGCACGGCAAGTCAGGCAAGAACCCAAAATTAAACCTGCTGGGATCACATTTCAAATTTTGTTGCCAAGGAAAAGTAGTACTGTACAAGGGTCCAGTTAGAGTAGTAGTCTTCTCTATTGCCAAAATAGACATTCCTCAGAAACCTGGAAAAGGCTGTAGTAAACAGGCTGGAATATCTGCTTTCCAGAGCACATGCATTCTGGTACTCAGACATCCAAACAGTAACAATAGTTTGCGTGTAGCATTTGATGTACTCAGTAAACCTCTAAGCAGATGCACTTCCTTGACTGTGTGCCATCTCAGAAATCCTCATATTGATTTACATGGATTCACAGAATACACAACAGGTTTCTTCAAGCCTAAGCAAGGCAGTCTATTACAGTTTACTTAATCCTGCAGGTGGTTTGTGAAAGGCAGAAGTAAGCAGATGCACCACATGAAATAGCACATTCAAAATTCACTATGGCAAAGGCTTTATGAAAACATATGCATCAACCACTCCTCCTTAGATTTTCCCAACTGGCTAGGAGCATAGCTGTCAGACTCCAGGAATACTTACTAACCACTCCAAAGAAAATTCCCTTTACTTAGTAAGAATTAGCTTCCAAAGAAGCAGCTCATTCAAAAGTGACAAAGAAACGAGCAGGCCTTTCAAAAATCTCTTGGCTGCAGGTTGTCCACATAACAGAGTAAATAAAGAACCGATGAGTCAGAACTGCTGCAAGTCTACAGCCATGCTATAATGCAAAAATGGTTTTAAAGAAAAATAAAGTGGGCATAATTTGGGCATTTCCACCTCCTGGTGCTTATTAGTCATCTGCAAGATTTAAGTTTCACATCTATCTTTGAACCTCATGACAGCTTTTCAGTTTCCAAATAGATCTTGCTTTAGCAAAAATATTTCAGGAAGAATTTCAACTGTTAAGACATAGATTAGATTAGGATGACAAGGAATGGTACTTTCAAGGACAGATAGCACCAAGTGGCCCGAAATAGTCTCTTCCGCTGGCTACCATGCAAAGAATGGCTAACCAGCGATTCCAGCTCAATTAGAGAGCCGTCAAACACCACTGCAGATGACAGATCTGTCCCATACAAGAGATCTGTATGAAGCAAAGGTAGAAATATAATAGTCTTACATGAAGAGCAGCTTTGCATGTAAACTACTCTTTTGTGGAACAGAAAGCACGCTAGTTCTCATGTAAAATCATCTCTTCCTACCAAGTTCAGAAATGGTATAACAAAGGATAACAACATGGAACCAGAAGGCCAACCTGCAAGTACGCAGCTTGCTCTATTGCTCCCATACTATAAAGGATGAAAAGTGCATCTTCTGTTGCTAGATGCTGAAGGAGAAGATCATAAACGAAAGGAAATACAATAAAATAGTCTCTACAGTGGTCTAAACAGTAACACTAAAAGAATATATAACACACACAGAGAGGCATAAGAGTGAACTTAAGCCAGATGTATATGTGGAGAGACAGACAGATTCCCACAGAAATACAGAGGTACAGCGAGCAGGCTGGCTACAGGTGAAGTACAGTACCTAAGCCACTTTGCTTCATCTCAGAAGACTGCCTGGAATAAGTGCTGAAGAGGCGATAACCTCCTGATTTAGAAGAAGATTCTGACAGCACCTGCAAAGACAGATAGTATAATCAGCGTCATGGTCTAAGTTACCCACTGGTCCCAAAAGCCTTTATACATCATTTGAAGGTAAAGAAAAGTACACCTCTTCCTTAAAATCACAATTTTCAGGAAGCATAAAGGTACTCATATGCTAAGATTGTGACAGTGTACATGCAATTTTAATTTCGAGTTTGTGTTGGGTTGTGGAACAGTGGAGATTTCAAAAGTATGAAGGGACTTGTGTACTGAGCTCCTTGTCTCTCAAGTCTCTTGCTGGGATCACTGGGATATAGACTTCCTTCTTTAGCAGCAGGAAAGTATATCCTCTTTCACTTAGTACATGCCTGTTACAAAGAGCCCCTAAGTGCTGCATGCAAAGATTACATCATGAGTGACACAGAGATGGAAGCCAGCTAAGAAATACCTCAAGCCCTAACTCTCTGCTTTCAATGATTCAGAAAACACATAGCAAAAATGCCTGCGAAACCTCTCCAAAAGGAGGGGCAATTCCTGGAGCACTTTGAAGGTGCCAGCTACCTGCGGACTGTGAAGGTAGCCTTATGACACATAACAGCCCTGATGGAGAGAAGTAACAACAAAACCGATCTTTGTTACTTTAGCAGATCAGTCAATGGGACAGTTTGAAATGCTGTAACAGTTTAAACACTCTGTAATAAACACACTGGTTAGCAGGGAGCTCCAGTTTGCATGAGATCTTAGATGGGAGACAGGAACAAGAAATGCGGAGCTGAACTGTGATACGCAAAGGCTGGAGTCTAAGGGAAGGCAAAGATGTCACCGCGGCTAGGTGAAGAGGTTGCATGCAATCTTGTAGCCGGTACATTGATGCCTCTACAGAGCATGTAATCCAAATAATTCTTGTGTTTCTCATTGCATTTCCTTACTTGCTCTTCCTCATCAATTCCTCTGACCTGTGTTCCTCCTGTCCTTCCTCAATGAGGAGGAGTTTGGGAGGTCTACCTTCCAAAAAAACCCTCTTTAACTTCTGCAGATCCTTTCCCAGAATCAACTCAAACTCTGGCACATTAAAATGAATGCCGGGAAACCAAAACCAAGAAAAAGACGTTCATTAGAACAACCAAGGGCACCCATCGCATTGTTACCTCCATGGACCCTGTCTTCCGGTTCCTGATCAGTGGTGATCTTCGCTGAATGCTGACCGGCTCAGAAGGCTGTGGAGACCTTTGCTGTGCATGATCCGGCTCATTGATGCCCTTTTCTTTCGAGAGGTCCTCCAGGCTACCTTGGTCTGCTTTCTTGTCTTCATTCTGCAGTAAGGAAACATTGACACCTACAGGAATGTGGCCTTTGCAAGCACTGCCCAGGCACTGACTCCAGCCTTGGATCTCCCAGCTCTGCTGAGCTCAGGAGGATACCAGCACTCTCAAAGGCTGCCGCGACAAACCCTAGAAAAGTTAGGCAAGGAACATAGCCTGCTAACAGCCTGCAGGCACAAAAGAAAGGTCAGAGGACAATTTGCTGCTGGAGACTGGACAGCAGCAGAGCCTGGCAGAACAGCAAGGTTGCCGATGGGCCTGTGCTCACCACATCCCCAGCAGGCAGGGCAGTTTGCATTCAGGCAGCATGCTCACCTCTGCAGAGGCAGGCCGAAAGCCAAACCCTGTGGGCACGTTCCTGTCTTCCTCACAGCCTTTCACGCCAGGGCTGAAATGCAGCTCCACATGGAAACGCTCTTCTGAAGATGGGTCCTGTGAACACGAGGCACAGGGAGTAAGTAAATAAATGAAAATCAGTCCCACTGTCAGCATAGGCCATGGTCTGGACCTGGGCCACCCCGTCATGCTGGTGCAGCACGCATCCCAAGCGCATCCTTTTGGAAGGAAAGTGGAAGCAACAAGAAATCACAAATATAATGGCTCTAGGTTTTTCCTCCTCCAAAAGGATAGCCTTATTAGCACAAAGCTGAGGCATTTAAATTGTTGTTATTTTGTGACAACAGCCACCAGAGGACCAAAACAGAATCGGGCTCTGTGTGCATGTGTGTATACACACATATACACAAACCTAAAACACAGCCCCTTCTGATCCACTCCTGTTGCAAAACCAGCACACACTGGGGCAGGGAGAGATTGGTTCCCTCCTGGACCTTTAATCAGGTTGTTTCAAGATTTAAGTAACTGTCTCTAATATTAACTTTATTTATTTATTTTAAGGGAAGCCAGAACTTTTGCAGTATTTGGCATTGATGATGTAAAACCAGAAGTTTCACCACCTCTACTTACTAACAGATTTACACCACTTCTAAGAGCTCTATTCAGAGTTCTGGGGGTTTTTTGACAAACAGCACTAGGAAATGTTTTGCTTCTACCTTTAAAACCCTGTATCAGCTCTGTGAATAGACGATTCTAACTCTATAGCATATAGAGGAAAGGGACTGCTCCCCTCACCCGCAACAATCTCCTGCAGTACAGGACCCGAGTCACAGGACCTGGGATTCAGTACATGCAATTCAGTGCCAAACCTACTTACTTACAGTCATCACCATCAGCTTCCACATTCTGGCTGTTTTTTAAATGATTCTCTTTACTTCCTGAAGATAGCAGTATATACTTCCCTAACTATATCAGTATATTTTTAAAATAAAAAAAGTTAATGAATGTGGAATTTCTGGATATTTCATAGAAATATTTGGAAAAAAATGCCAAATATAATTTGCTTTTATTTTTTTATTCCTACTGTTCATTTGTAATTACTATTAAGAAACAGCAAATTATTTTGCTTTACAAAATGCTTTAAAATAGATAGTACTGATTACTTAAGTTTGGTATTACTGCTCAGGATGGCATTCCGCTTACATGTAACAAGCGTTAACTGAGTCACTGCCTCCCACCCAAAAATCAAAACTAGCAGTTGTGTTAATGATCCGTCCATCTTTATTCACAAGTGGAGAGGAGAGCTCAGGTTACAAACTTCCCAGATGAACACCTCTCAGGGACTGTGCCTTGCATCATGGCAGGAAGGATTTTATCCTACATCTATATCCCTCACCTTGTTGTTGTCCTCGTAGAGCATGATAACAATCTGGGTCATGTAGTTCAGCTCTGAGATAGCACTCAAATAGTCCATGGCTCTCTTCCACTGCTGGTCTTTGTTTTCCTGATATATACACATAAACAGTCGCATGGAATAAGCAACAGCAGACACCTTGCAGCATTCAGCGAAATGAGTCTGAGAGAGTTTGTCTCTCCACAAGATAACAACATTGTCAGGACAAAAAACACCTTGCTTAAGTTGCATGAAGAGAGATGGCCTTGCGATGAGGGCAGGATGCTTACAATAAGGAGCAACTGCATAGAGGGACACTACAGCTACCCATACAATCCACGTGCAGATCTGAGCACATCCAGCTGCAAGCCCCCTGTGCCATGCTGACTGGAGAAAAGCATAACCCACAGCAGGTTCCCAAACACAGTCAGTCTCAAATAGTGGCCTACAGAATAGAGTACTTGAGAGTCATCTCAAAAGAAGTACAAGGGATGAACTTGTGCTAAATAAGGGACTGAGTGAAGCTGCTTTTACATGATGCTGAATGAAAAGTCTACAGAGCCACACCGGACCCTTGGGCTCCAGAAGGCAGGGCAGCCCACCCCTCATTGTCTCTCCACACTGCTAGGGAATGGTCATACCTGAAGTGGCGCTCATGCTGCTGTGTAGCATCATCACCTTGATGGACATGAAATGAACCCCACCAGTACAAAGGAACCCAAATGCAGCCTAATATCCCTGTGCTGGCAACACAGCATCCTCTGATACTTAAGTTGGGGAATAAAGTAGCATCTTACTCAGTGAGAAATTCAGAGGTACTTGCATCACTGTCTACAGATACACTGAGCTTCCACAGACATCAGAAACCTTGCCTGCTAAGCAAGCCCAAACTCTCAAGGCATTTCAGAGCACCATGCTTAAAATGGGAAGATAAATCAGAGAGCCTCTCAAAGAGTCTAAAGCAGAGCTTTTCTCAGGGTCTGCATGACAATTCCTTCAGGAAGCAGGTTATAAGAGCAAGGGAAGGTTAAATTGGATGAGTTAGTCCCCTAAAAACACGTCATCTGTCCCTCTGGTAGAGGGAGCACCCCCATGCATTTGCAACCTCAAGTCACTTCCTCTGTAAGCAAACTGATTTTCTTGACTTGGAATTGGCACTAAATAACAGGGCCAAGCTCTTGAAATAAAGGGTTGAAGGAAGCAGGAAGAGACAAATTCCCTCATCCCCATTGCTTCATACTGCTATCCTCCTATACAGGTCAGTGGTCTACTCATCTGAAATCAGCAGTACAGCTCTTGAAAACATGCCTCTGTACAAGCAAAGCAGGCAGTGTCAGGACTGAGGAAGAACAATCCTCCTATATGCCAGAAAGGCAGAAAGCTGCAGCATGCAAACAGAGCAGAGATGGAGTTGGCCAGAGGCTACTGATGCACATCATTACTGGGGGAGCTGAATAGAGGGGCAACCTACAAACATACACTGTCCACCTTGGAAGGGGCCACTGAATAAAAGCAGGGAGGCTTACTCTGTGAGCATTGCTGGGACACTTACATCCAGGAGCCCGCCATAGCGGAAGATACTGAGCAGAGAGTGCACATGGCTCTCACTGGTGAAGTAGAGCCGTGTCCGAACGTGGCGACCTGGTGACAGAACTCCTCTTGAGTACCTAAACCAAAATCAGCCCAGTGTTACTCATAGCCTGTCAATGAATTGCCACCTATCATACAGCAGCATTTCTGCACACTTAACGGAATAAGATAACTCCACAGTGGGAACTGTGAAAGAGCAGCGGGAACAGAACAAACAGTGAGAGCATTGGGCATAGAAGTCGCAAGTTTTATGGTATTCTAATGGAGACACATGGTGGGACAGAGGTAGCCTCAACATACTAGCACTTGCCCCTTGCAGAGACAGGGATGAAGGCACCACCATCCAACTACAATGGGTTTAAGCTTCTGTGGCACCACATTCCCACTCATCAGTCCCCTTCATGTGTCCTTCAGCGTATGTTCAGTGCCTCCTTCCACACCGGTACACTATTCTGGCATGGTTCCCACACACTGCTCCAAAGCTGCCCTCCCCACCAGCAGCAGCATGCAGCACAATCCTTACAAGGGATGTAGTTTGTTGACAGACTCATCTTCATGGGTTCTCTGTAGGTCCAACTGGATCTTTTTAATGAGAGGAAGACAAAAGCCAATAGCAATCTCCAGTTTCTCCTCCTTATTAATCCCATATTCCTGCAGGAATAAAACAACAGATACCCTTGAGCCTGGGTTCTTTGCAACATCCTCACATGAAGGAAGGCTGGACTTCAAAAGTCACGTCCACAAGCACCACTACAGTTAAGCAAGGATAGAAAGGGAAATGTCATTCAATACCTTCCTCTTTTTTCCCCACATATTGCCAAGGGTAACAGAGGACAGAGACTCCTCCAAGAACCCCAATCTGCCTAGACATGATTGTCAGTATTCTTCCAACAGCTGAGAGGTGCAACTACCATCAGGGAACCTCCTCTCATAACACACAAACTTATACCCTGACTTGGCATGAGCATTAATGCAACAACTGCTATTTGCAAAGACAAAACTTCAAGTTCTATGCTGGAAATAGTCAAACTGCATCTCATTAGAAACACTATGAAAAAGTTTAGAAGACCACTTCTGCTCTACATGGGCACAAGTGCAATTGGACCTTGCTGGTAGAAGCTCAGCCCATAGAAACAAAGCATTGCTGCCAGAACTGGGACAGAACAATGGTGAATACAGAGATCTGTTGCATGTGGCCCTCTTTTCCCTCCCATGTTCATGGGCAGAAACTTGGCAAGAAGCAAGCCAACTTTGCAAACTGAACAACTTCTAGTTTGACAAGAATAACAAACTTGCCAGAACAAGCCTTCACTTTAACACAGAAATCTCTCTTCCTCCGTACAATCTTGTATGTGGAGAATGGCATATTGCTATAGCACACACACTCAGCTTAAAGCTGTGCTATAATGCACTATGATGAACATGGAAAGGCTGCTGCATCAGCTGTTCATTATTCTGACGCTGCCAGAATCCTCATCCAGGAAGCCAGCCCTGCCACATCTTAAGTCATAAACGGTTTTGGCCTTATACAAACACTAAAGAGATGTGTCTGAGAAATACTTATGATACACTGCCTTGAGAGTTAATGTGCAAGAGAATCGAGAAAAAACAGACAGGGAAAGGGTCAGAAACTGACACCACAGACATCGTCACACAGGCAGGACAGGCTATACCTGGGGTATGATCACATCTGCCAGGGCTTTGGAGAGTTTGAACAGTTCAGCTGTGCCTTCCAGTTTCAGTGCACAGTTGTGCTGTACATCATACTTGATGCAATCATAGATATCAGGGATCTTGCTGATGTCATAACGCCCATTCTTCATGCGGAAATCTCGCTCCAGCTTACTCCAGCGTTGCAGCATCAATTCTAAAGTCTCACTGTGGTACAGCTGTAGGTCTAAACAGCAGAGAACACCAAACCACATTCACATGCATGCTGACTACTTCTGCGCAGATTTCAAGTGACAACTATGACTGACTTCTCCCAGCACAGAAGGGCTCTGATTATTATGTCACCCACAGGAATCCTAGACTGGAAAAGCCACTGGTCCTCTTGCACAGATTTTTAACCTGCAGCAATAAGCTACTTATGAAATACTTGAAAAAAGTGAAACTTCTTGCCTGTTGGCTTATGTCTGCCATAAATCGTATGAAATGTCCACAGATGCCTTTTTAAAACCTCTGCACTGTTATTAGTACAGTTCTTAGAGATGAGCAAATCGTGACTGAAACACTTGCTGGTTATGGTCTTGAGCTCCCCTCCAGGAAATGCCTGAAAAAATCAGGCATACCTCTCCAGGCTATACTGCTGCTGTTTACATTCACTCTAAACCCAAGATGCACATATAATTTCCTTTACATTACAGCTCTCTTTAACAGTAGTTGAAAGTGGAATAGGAACCTTCTATATCAAAAGCACATACAGAATTTCACTTTAGAATTTCTTTGCTACAAACATAAACCATAGTGGTGTTTGGGAGCTCTGAAGATGTAAAAATAAGTCTGCTCCAGACCCTTTCCACTTGTGATGCTCACCTGCAGATTTTGGGTCTTCCAGACGTTTTTGTATCTGGGAGGTAAGATTCTCAATCAGGGTGAACACCTGGTTACAGATCTCTACTGGGTTCTGGATAAATGTCATGGAGTTAAGCAGAGAAGCACTGCCTGTAGGTGCTAGCTGAGAGAAGATACCAGTAGACATTAGTTAGTATCTTTATAAATTGGGAACACAAAATGTCTGCCTTATGCAGCTGCACTGCTTTCTGATTAGGTTCAAAACTTATGCTCCCAGCTGAGGGTAATAAGCTGGCCTATTCCAAGAGGTAGTTAGACATGTTTGAAAAACTTCCTCAGGACCAAACTCAGAGGGAGCAAACAGCTGCTCCTATCAGATCAGACCTCCCTCCACCTACAATATCCACTCTTGTCTCAGTTTGCTTCTGTGCTTGAACAGAAGGGCTTCATAGAAGATTTAAGTAGTTCTTTGCGGTGATAAATATGTTCCTTAACGGTAATGGATTTCAGTCCACAATCAGATCTCAGAGTCTGGGAAAAATAGTGTTTTGGGGACTTGTTGGAGAAGCAGCTATAGTGCTTTTATTGGTTGCTGTGCTGGATGTAGCCCATGCTCTCCACTCTGCAGTTATCAGACACTGATAGGACCACAAAAGGGTTTGTATCCAAAAGATCTGCTCACACATGCACAGAGCAAGGATCTAGAATCTGGCAGGGCATACTGCCTGTCCACAGCAATCCCACAACTGGGATTGTTCTGGGTAGCATGCAGTAAACCACAAGAACTTTTCTTTTAGCGCATCCATGAGAATAAAATGCACTGGGACTTCTAAAGGGAAAGGAAGGTACCATGATGACTCTTGAAGGGGACAGTGGAGCAACACTGAGGATTTTCACTTGGAGAAGGGCAGGGACTATTAACCTGCCCCTTCCCTTCCTAAGTTCTGCTTATATCCTGTAATTTTGACCAGAACTGATCTCAGACTAACCAAACTACTGTTCACATACCAGCAGGCTTCACGTCAAACCACTGGAGCAATGCTATTCTACTTCCAGATACAGGAAGTAATAAAGCCACACAGGTACTTTACCTTTTCATAGTCCTCTTCACAGAACTCAGCATCCTTCTGCATGATTTCATGCAGTCGTGCCTTCACTCTGTGTTGACAGCTGCTAAGGGAATCGCTGTCACTGTCCAGGAGACCGTTCATATTGGCACTTTTCACCATTTGCACCAGGATGGGGGTCAGCTCTCCTTCCAGGGCCAACAGACCCTAAAGCAACACAGGACAAGATTTCAGCTACGTGCAATCCAAGCAACAAACATTTCTGGTAGTTTCATGGCCAGCCTTCAGTCAATTTGAGTGAAATCTCAACTGTCCTTGACAAGCAGTTTTACACCAACAGCACCCTACAGTAACCAGTGACTCTGGCATGTTTCTAGAGCTGTTCAAGGCAAAAGGCCAGCTCTGCCTGCAGCAGCCCCAGATTTGTCTAGGCAATTGTTGAGCAGCCAACTCAGCTTGCTGGAAAATGTTGATACAGCGGAGGTTCTGAAGCACAGCTAAGGTCATGACAGGATACCTCTTGGCTCAAGCTTCAACTGCAGATAAGCCTGTCTTCTCCCCAACTCCCAGCCCACACTGCACCAAAGACATTTCATTCCCCTTTTAAATCCAGCAGTCAAGGAATAACCCCTCTGGCTGGGCAGTCATTCAAGAAACACTAATTCTGTAGGCAATTAATGCTCAGCAACAGGTTTGATGTGCTCTAACATCAAATACCAGCAATACTCCATGAATAAATCCTTCTCTGGTCAGAGTCCTATACTGGACAGGATACTAAAGGTAACATACATGTGCAGCTACACTGGATTTCCAGTACCACCCCATACACTTGCTATTAGCACAGTGTACCCTCAACTTCCCAGCAGAGAGGAGGAAGCTCATAGGACAGCTCCTTCCTCATCACCAGAGGTTTTCCTTTAGAACTGGTATAGTTTAAGACTGACGTAGCAGAACTAACAGATGCCCAAACGAGAGGAAGGACCTTTGCAAAAGCTGCTGCTGTCATCTGAACTCGACCCTCATCTGAGGCATAGATCTTGAGATCATGACGGTAGGTGCTGTGCAGCCTGAGCAAGCCACATCCAGGGAAACCAGCATAATCACCTGGAACAGAGAACAAATTCAGAATTAATATTCTGACACCTGCAAAACTATCAGTTGAATATACTGCTTTAGTCAACAAAATTTATGGTAATAACAAATTTATATAGAGAATTAATTACTTCCATAGCCAGCATTTAGGCTACTCCAAAATAGATAGTTCTAGCCATACATGATGGCTAGAAATCTGGTTCAGGCTTTGCTTAACTTGGGAAAGTTTTGAGGAAAAAAGCGAGTATTAACCAGTCAAGTCTGATGCTGCCCAAATTCTGCAGCATCACTCTCTGAACAGTCCATAATTATTCTTCTGCTAGCCTGAATACCCCTGTGCAGAGTAACAGTGCACAAAAAAATTGCCTCCTTCTACTTGTTCTCTGCACAAGAGCAGGTACTGCTGCCATCAGAACTGGTGGCAGAGCTATTCAGTAGCGAGATACCCAGTTTCCAAACCATATCCTGTAAAGCTACAATTATCTTGTAGCACAAAATGCCAGTTTATTTATGATGGCTGAGTCAACCACAGGAGTAAGATCAGTAATGGGAAAAAGCAACTCATGCAGCTCTTGAGTCTGACCCTCCAAAGACAGTGCAGTGGTGACTAATTTGCTGCTGCCTGGAATCCCATGATGATTTTGCACAGTACCCAGTCACATTGCATGAGAAGATGGGAAAACTGCTCCCAGCTCTGAGCTCACAACTCAGAGAAACACCCTGCTAGACAAGGATGGACACCAGCCAGAAATCAGCTGTATAGCTGGACAAAGCTGCCATGTACCAACTGCTACCCAGGAACACAGCATCCCACTGTAAAGTAAGATCTCTCCCTCTCCATGAATAACTACAGGAACCAGAAGTCTCCAAAGCTATGATTCAGAAGGACTGGAGTCACCTTGTACATGCTCAGACCAAGCTCTACTGTGAGCAAGAGGGCAGCCACTCAGTGCTCACCAGATATAGAGCAGTCAGTTCAGAGTTCAGAACAGGCATAGACCATAGGGCTCAGCCCAGCTTGATGGTGACTGCACTCCATTTGACCAAAGCTCTGCAGACAGGTCTCTTCTCTCAGGTTTTGCTTCATTATGCTGCAACCCACTCCTTGTACTTCCACTGGAATTGCTTCTCCTGCAGTCTTCTGGTCCCCCCAATCTCTTGTCCAAGTCAGTGGTTGATCCTCTCAACTCCGAGCTTCAGAGATCCACAACAGCACCAGGAAGTCCCCAGCCTTTCTAACTCACCATTCCCACCTTCAAGAATGGCACACAGGCCTTGTGATGAAGATCCTCTGTCCACTACTGCTCCTCCTCCTTTAATCTCTGTGCACTGACAGTCTACTCTACTTGTTGGCACCTTGCAGTAAGCGTTACCATGTGCACTTAGTTTTCTCATCTTTTAGAAAGTTTACCCTCACATGTTTGGCAAAAATATGCTCTTGAGATCACAAGCTCCTGACCTCACAGCTCACCTCCCTCTGGCAACATTCTCGTAATGCAGCCTCATAATGCATCACTCTCCTAATGACAGGCTGGCAACACTCCTCCTAATGCAGTCCAGGATACCATTCGCTGCCTTTGTGGCAAGGGCACATCGTTGGCTCATGTTCAGCTTGGTGTCCACCAGGATCCCCAGGTCCTTTTCTGCAAAGCTGCTTTCCAGCTGGTTGGCCCCCAGCATATATTGGTGCAAGGGGTTGTTCCTCCCCAGAGGCAGGACTTTGCAATTCCCCTTGTTGAACATCATGAGGTTCCTGCCAGCCCATTTCTCCAGCCTGCCAAGGTCCCTCTGGATGGCAGCATGTCCTTCTGGAGATTCAGCCACTCCTCCAAGTTTTGTGTCATCTGCAGACTTGCTGAGGGTACACTCTGCCCCATCATCCAGATCATTAATGATGATATTAAAGAGGATCAGACCCTGTTTTCAACCGAGCTATACTGCTAGTTCCTGGCCTCCAACTAGACTTTGTGCCACTGACCACCACCCTCTAAGCCCAGCCATTCAACTAGCTTTCAATCCACCTCACTGTCTGCTCTTCCAGCCTGTACTTCATCAGCTATGAGAACGTTACAAGAAACAGCATCAAAAGCCTTAGTGAAGTCAAAGCAGGCCATAGCCACTGTCCTCTCCTCATCTGAATAAGCCAGTCACTTCACTGTAGAAGGTTATCAAGTTGGTTAAGCATGACCTCCCTTTGTGAATCCATGCTGACTACTCCAAATCACCTTCCTATCTTTCATGTGTCCAGAAATGGTTTCCAGGATTAGCTGCTCCATCACCTTCCCAGGGACTGTGGTGACTTTCCTTATTCCAGAAGGAAATCTTCTCCGATTCAATTTACATTAGCTTAATTAATTTCAAATTTAATTAATTAAATTGAATTAATCAAACATACAAGTCAAAGATAAGCAGTAACCAATATTGGTAGCATCTGATCAATACAGTAGCAGTGTATTACTTAGAATCATAGAATCATTAAGGTTGGA